ATGAATATAAAAAAACAGTTATGTAATATATATAAAGCTTAATGTGTGTGCATATATATATATATATATATATATATATATATATATATATATATATATATATATATATATATATATATATATATATATATATATATATATATATATATATATATATATATATACATATATACATATACATATATATATAAAGAGAGAGAGAATGTATATGTGTGTGTAAGTATGTTTAGGGATATGTATATGTATATATAGATAGATATAGATGTAGATACATAGATAGACAGATAGATTTATATGTACAGGTATGTATATGTATATATGTATATATATATATATATATATATATATATATATATATATATATATATATATATATATATATATATATATATATATATATATATATAATATATGATATATAAATTACATGTAAATATATTATATATATAGTATATATATATTTGTGTGTGTGTGTGTGTTTGTGTGTGTGTAGTATATGTATGTATGATGTTATACATATATATATATATTTCAGGTGGTGTATATATTGAACTTATTTCAGATTTATAATTGTTGTAGATTAAACCATAATAACATTGTCAGTATAATCCGTTTTGTGTGTAACATATAGCATTACGAATATTACTTTGCGATAGAAACTATGTATATACTTTATTTTCAGGAAATGTTAAATCGATCCTTGAACGGATTTTTATCTGAAATTTGAATGGAAAGCTTGTATAATCACAAATGATACTTCTCTCTCTCTCTCTCTCTCTCTCTCTCTCTCTCTCTCTCTCTCTCTCTCTCTCTCTCTCTCTCTCTCTCTCTCTCTCTCTCTCTCTTTCTCTGTCTCTTTCTCTGTCTCTTTCTCTTTCTCTGTCTATCTCTCTTTCTCTCTCTATCTCATTCTCTGTCTCTCTCTGTCTCATTCTCTCTCTCTCTCTCTCTCTCTCTCTCTCTCTCTCTCTCTCTCTCTCTCTCTCTCTCTCTCTCTCTCTCTCTCTCTCTCTCTCTTCTCTCTCTCTCTCTCTCTCTCTCTCTCTCTCTCTCTCTCTCTCTCTCTCTCTCTCTCTCTCTCTCTCTCTCTCTCTCTCTCTCTTTCTCTCTCTCTCTCTTTCTCTCTTGCATATAGATTACTAGCATACCCTATCACCCTTACTCAGGCACAAATACACACATTTATATACCAAATATATGCCAACTTCCTTACACATACATATTCAAGTAGCTTATAAATTGGTTGGAGAACAGTGCATAAAAAGATGACGCATACAACTTTGTATATCTTTATTAATATCGAACTGTGGAATATGAAAACTTTATTTTTCATGAACATGTCTTGTGAAAATTTGATATTTCCAATTGAATATTTTTGGCATTTATATTTCTGTTTTATGCATGATAGGTGTCATTTCATTCTCTTATGATCGTTTATGATTTTCTTCAGGAAAAGGTCTACAAAGCTATTACTTAATGACTGTTTCCTATAAATATGAGAATGACTATTTTTGTATTTTAATATAAATTTCATGTAAGTGTTACTTCATTTACCGGTGAGCAGTTATATTATGTGTTTCAGATTTCCATTGTAATCATAACACTTTTTTCATAAACAACAAGAGCATAATTTTGAGGCATATGTTATGAAAAAAGAAAGCGGGTCTGACTGACTGCAACTTCAGTTCACAGTATTGCTTGTCATAAAGGTTTGGCATGTGACCGTGCTTCCTGGCCATTGATTATCTTGAGACTGAGTCTTTGGCCCTAAAAGAAAATAGCTTGGTCCTTTTTTTACCAACTGTGTATGGATAAAAGTCCGCTTGACTGCATCACATCATACATCTAGCAAAGCTATTTGTATCAGTGAATTGACCCATTTGCAAGTTTGTGACTTTACCTGTGGATTTCTTCCCCCCATGTTTTTTTTTACATATGAATCTTCTGAGTTTACATCCTCCTCAAGTCAGCATTCTCTTCTTCCCCTGTAAGCTGTCCTCTTCTCATTAGTGTCTTCCTTTCAAGCGCTCTAAGGACAGGAAGAAAACGCTCATCATGCTCGAGGACGGCACCAACCAGGTAGCCCCATTACCTCCTAGACCAGGGGATGCGGTGGCCGTGGCCTTGCCTCTGGGGTTGGGCTCTTGAGGGGAACTTGATGTGTAGCAACTTTTTTTCTCTCTCTCTTTTTCTTTTTTTCTGGGTCCATGCAAGGGGGGACTAAATGACATCCTCATTGTGCTGGTGTGCCTGTAATCTGGTGTAATAATGTGCAACTTTTATATTGGGATAAAATGTGTTTGACGACTGAACTTCCTAAAAATCTTTGTTTTTTTGTTTTCACAAGAGACTCATCAGCACATAGACGTGTCATTTTCTTTTTCTTTTCTTCTTTTTTCTTTTATTTTTTTCGTTTTACCAGTATCTCTTCTGGCATGAATGTGTTCCAGTGAGGGCATATGGATCAGCTTTACATATGTTTGTGTCTCTGTCGAATTAT